AACAGTGTCTGCAACTTCTTGTTATGATGAATATACTATTCAAAAACAGTGTCTGCAACTTCTTGTTATGATAAATAAACTATTCAAAAACAGTGTCTGCAACTTCTTGTTATGATAAATATACTATTCAAAAACAGTGTCTGCAACTTCTTGTTATGATAAACATACAATTCAAAAACAGTGAACCTTCCTATGATTAATATACTATTAAAAACAATGTCTGTATAAATCATCTTATTTAACACTGATATTATTTTAATTACTTGACACCAAAGTATTTAATACTTTAGATCGACTGTGACAACAGGAGTTACCGCTAACTAATTAGTGTCGTCATCATCTTCTTCTTCTGTGTTCACCCTTAAAAGGGTGGCTGACGTGTTATATTGTGGTTTACAGCAAGGCAGTGATATCTGAACTTTTCTAGCCAACACATCAAAAGAAAAAACTGCCAATAAGTTGTCCCTGTACCATATTTGCTAAGGGGCGGGGCTTTGTAATGCTAAAGTACCCAATTCAATCCCAGCTGCAGGTAATTTGGGCAGCAGACCACTCTGCATTAATTTTAAAAAAGGTATCAAGAGCTTCAGAGAACAGTGGCAAACTACTGAATGTAAAAATTACCTAGTAAAACCAAACAGCCAAAAAAAGAAAGGGTGCTTTTGTGATATCCTACCCCAGATGACATCACAGGACACTCCAACTTTTTTAAAGGGTGGTAAGACTGGGTTTCCTGGCTTTCTGATGCTTTAAAGGACCTTAAAATATCTAGAACTGGCCCTAACCCCAACCCACCTATGTTCCACGAGAGAGTGCAGCCTAGGTCCCACGACTGCATGCAGCCTAGGTCCCACGACTGCATGCAGCATATCTACCACCCCCTAAAATATTAGACTGTCCCATGACCTGTGGATTTTCCCTGTTTATGGTAAGATATTAAGAAAGCACTTTAAAAAAAAAACCAGCAAAATGCTAGTTTTGGCTCTACAATGACCTGTAAAGAATATGCCATTAACTTTGTTGCGGGACAGTTTGTCTATTCTCAAATAAGCAACATAGGGAACATTTGATAGGACACTAAATTTTATCTTTTTTTTTGTTTGTTTGTTCAGTATCTCATATTATATTTGCTGAAAAGTTTCGGGGGGTATAAATGTGCAGACATAAGCACCAATCTCCCACCAACACAATAAAAAAGACAACACAACAAACACAGAAAACAAATATATTCAACCTACAGAGGTTTCAACATCACACGGTAGAAAAATGGAGGAAGAAAAAATAAAATTTGATCATCACAAAAAAGGCTAAAAAAAAAAAAATATGCAAAATATATAATTATAACATTTGAGTAGACATAATAATATAATAAAATATAAAACAGAGAGAACACAACACTATATTATGGCATTAGCAATAGCATCACCTCAAAAAAAAAGAATGTTCATATTTACAGTAGGTAAGTATGGTAAATGTCAAAATCAGATCTGTGCACATAAAGACCTCATATGTGTGGTCTGTACGGCTGACAATATCATCAAAAACTGAACAACTATACATTAAATGCATGACAATCTTGAATACTGTACATAAAATGCACATTAAAAAAAAAAAAAAAAAAAATACAAACAAAAGAACAATGAAATTATGGCAGCGATCATGCTATGACATTATCATTTCATTATGTCTTTGATATATGTGTGTGTATGTGTAGATGAATACACTGATCAATAGTATGAAGGGCTGCATGGTCTCCAGGCATGGTGGCCGCCTCGAGTGTTAGAGGTTCCGTGTTCCATCCCCGCTAAGGGCTGGCATTTGTTCACGTGGTTTTGGACTTCTAGTAATTTCCCCCTGGTCTCTGCGTATTGAGATCAGACACCTGTGTTCACTGTTGCGCATGCAAAAAAAATCTCTTGGCAATTGGAAATCGAAAAAAGTAGCCTAACGGCGCTGCCCGGGCAAAAATTTGGAGTTAAAAACCCACCCAAAGTATTTCAGGATCCTCGCCAGTGCTACACAGCCTGTGCACTGTGCTGAGCTTCTTGGGACTGATATTATCAATGCCCTCAGAGAAATGGGAAGGATAGACGACTTTGGTGGCAGTGAATCCACATCACTCGCCAGAATGGCAGACTTGGGAATTAAGATCGGCACAGCAAAAAACGAGACGCACACCGGACACGTCAGAAGACTTGTTAATCAACATAGAACTGGTACTATTAGCCATCGGACGTTGGGATTCATACTGAGGGGAGGATCTGAGCACCTATGGACATGTCCGGAGTGCAATGATGATAACCCAACTAACTAACTAACTAACTAACTAACTAAGCTAATGCAGCTTTCATGCATTAACTAAGCTGTCAATGACAATTTCCAAGTTTAGTTACTTGTTATAATACTTAGGATTCTTTCATTCCTAGTTATTAGTTACCACAGACTGACTGAAGGATGCAAAACATAAAATGTTTTTAAATGTTTACTATTCTGTACGAATGCTAACTAGACATAGGAAGAATATAAACTCCGGCCACATCCAAGTTGATAGTATGAAAATCAAACGAACGGAAACATATAAGTACTTAGATGCAAACTTCAACTGCTCCAACATGCTGAGAGAAGAAATAAAATCTAAAATTAAACTTTACATTGCCTTTCAACATCTGCTAAAGTCAAAGTGCTGTCTCGCAACACCAAAATCAAAACGTTGGTAAGACCAGTCGTGTTATATGGCTCTGAAACTTGAAGCAGAAAAAAAAAGAAGTTTTTCGAAAACAATCTTACGACGAATCTTTGGACACATCCCAGATGCAAACAGCGGTGAATGGAGAGTGAGAAGCAACAACGTAACACATAATCTGTTTAAATCAGCATTGATCACCGGCATCATGAGAGCTAGACTAAAATGGTTGGGGCATATTGAAAGAATGTCAGATGACAGAGAAGTAAAAACTGTATACACCCAAGAGAGGAATGAGCGTAGACCACGAGGCAGACAAAAAAGAAGTTCGAGAGATAATGTCCAGTCAGACCTGCAAATAACTGGTGTCACAAACTGTGAAGAGAAGGCCAGCCAGAGAGATGAATGGAGACGAGTGATATCTGCAGCAGTAAACCTTAAGCTCAGAATGCTAAAGAAGAAGATGACTTTTCTGTGATACTTTATGTGAAGTAAAAGTTCAGCGTATATTTGACATTATGAATATGTGTGTGTTTTTTTAATTGATATTTTTTTTTTACACAATGTACTATTCGTATTTGTATTCGGCCGAATAGTTGGTCCCACTATTCGTATTTGGCCGAATGGTAAAAAACACTATTTGGTACAGCCCTACTAAGAACATCAGCTTTCAACTACACACCTGACCTAACTCCTCATCCCAACCTTTATCCTTACCACTGAGCACATTATGAAATAATAGTGTAATCTGAATTCTTCGAAATCTTCTTCTTCAGCATTCGAGCTCTTGAGGTTAATTGCTGAAGATATCACCCGCCTCCAGCCATCTCTCTGGTTGGCCTTCTCTTTCTACATTCACTGGGAACAATTTGGAAGAACATCCAGAAATTATGGGCTATAATCTGAACTCACTGGGGAACTATTTGGAAGAACATCCAGAAAAAATGGGGTATAATCTGAACTCACTGGGGAACTATTTGGAAGAACAAGAATAAATAATGAAGACTAATCTGAATGCACCTAGGCACTTTTTTGGGAGAACATCCAGAAATAATGGGGTATAATCTGAACTCACTGGGGAACTATTTGGAAGAACAAGAATAAATAATGAAGACTAATCTGAATGCACCTAGGCACTTTTTTGGGAGAACATCCAGAAATAATGGGGTATAATCTGAACTCAATGAGGCACTGACTGGTGCCAAAAGCATGATGTAAGAGTTGACTAATTGGTAGCTTCCTTCAAAGTCAGAGTACATCTGCCTGAGAGGCAAGGAACCAACAGTCTGCATGCAAATGAATCACACCTGTGAAACGGATGTACACACAATTCTGAGGTTCTGGAACAGGACTAGAGTCCAGAAGTGGACAAACAACCAAAACTTTCCGCCGGTGAATGCGAAGAAGAAGAAGAAGAAGAAGAAAAAGAAGAAGAAGAAGCTACACTGGAGGTTACAAGATGGAAGAAGAGAGGAAGAGAGAAAGAAGCCATGTTGAATTGCTTCAAATGGCCAAATATCTGGCAATGACTGGCTCTTATCATAAAATAATAACACCACATACAACAACCGCCCAACATCACAGTTATCATCATCATCAGGTACCTTGCCGACTGGCGTAGGCAATCATGCCTCTCCATAATCCATGATCTCCTGTAGCATGTATCAGTTCGTGTACCGATACACCTCCATGCCATGCAACAAGACTGTCAAGAATCTTCTCTCGTTGTCTTCCTCTATCCCTCCTTCCACAGATCTTTCCAGTGGTCACAACATGTTCTATTTTCCCTCTTCTCATAACATGGCCGAAAAATGATGACTGTCTCCTTCTGATGTCTGTGATAAGTTGTCTTCGGGCTCCCGCTTCTTTCAAACCTCTTGGTTGCTCCTTTTGGCTGTCCAAGTTATTAAAGCATTCTTCTGTAAAACCACATCTCTGAGACCTCAAGAAATTGTTTGGCCTGCCTACCAATTGTCCAGGATTCACAGCCATATGTTAAAACTGGATGTATGTCACAGTTATATGTTACTATAATTTAACATTTATGATTACACAAAAATATAATAATAATTATTATAATAAATTTAACACAACATTGACTTTGTTCTGTTTGGCTGGTGATACACTCGTCGATATATATCAGCCGAGTCTGGGATGATATTTGGACGTGTGTATGAAAGCACCAAGACGGTCTGGTGAAGTTCTACCACCTGAAGGTTCATGTCACGGATAATAAATTATGAAGCAGCAGAGATGGAGAAATACATAAACATATATTCGTGATATCTGATACGAATTCATGGCCGGGGTATTTGATCTAAGTGTGCTTGTCTACATATGTTTGGCTATGTGCTTTTGACATATGCACAATAAGATTTGCCTTGTTGGAGTATTTTATGCCGCAGGTTTCACATATATATGGCTTTTCCCTGGTATGCTTTCTCATATGTTTATCAAGCCCACTCTTCCAGAGGAAGGCTTTTCCACATACCAAACACCCAAATGGTTGGTCAGTGCTGTGAATACGTCGCTGGTGGATGGACAGCTGACTCTTTACCGTAAAAGCTTTGGGACACTGGTCACAGTTGTAGGGTTTCGTTCCTAGATGTGTGCGGTAGTGGGCCTCCAATTTTCCCCGCTCCACAAACGATTTTGAGCACATTGGACATGAGTGAGGTTTACGCTCCAGGTGACTCAGCATGTGCCGCTGCAGCTTCCACTTGGTGAAGAAGGATTTCTCACAAACATCGCACTGATAGGGACGATCGTGCAGGTGGTTGCTTTTGTAATGCAGCTCCAACTTGCCCGTGTCCCCAAAGGATTTGTTGCAGATATCGCACATGTGAAGCTTGGATGGCTTGACCTTCTTCTTCTTTGGAGCCAGTGCCATCACTGAGCCGCTGGCATCATGGATGACCTCGCTGTCCTCAAAATCCCCACTGTAAACCTGCTGCTGCTGGGTCAGTTCCAGCTGGCTGTCCACCTGTTGTTGACCAATCAGTAAACCCTGGTCAGAGACCAGGAGAGAGTCACTGACAACATAGTGGGAGACTGTGAAATTTTGAGTTGTACCATCAGCTTGAGTTACTGCAAAGTCTGTGAACTTTTGAGTAAAGCCTGACTGATCCAGCAGGTGTCCACTGACTGTGTGTTGCTCCAGAAGCTGCATTCCCATGTCCACAGCAACATCAGATGTGTTTATGCTGCCAGAGGCAACGGTGGTTCCTGAAGGATGAGTAGGGGTCCCAGGAAGATAGATGGGTGTCGCTGGCGCTGAATGAGGAGTTGACGAGCCCGTGTGGTGCACCGGAGTGGCAGGTACACTACTGCCATCTTCAGATCTGCTCGGGTCATGACTAGCAACAGCTGCCTTTTGATCTTCCAGGATGTGTTGATTGTCGTCGGTGAAGAATCGGATTCTAAAATGAACAGCAAGATGATCGGCATCCGTGCCATCCTCCTCACAACACATGTCACACGGATACAACTCTTCTTCGATATGTTTCACGCGATGGATGTCCACACTAATCCTATCAGAAAAAGTCTTTCCACAAATGTCGCAGGATGGCTTGGCTTGTTTCAGCTTCTTCTTCTTTTTCTGGCTGGGCAGGGCAAGTGGTGGTGGGGCGTAATGAATGACTCGTGGAGTGACTAACACATTCCTTGGTTCACATGGATGACTGATGAGTTCTTGGGAGGAGCTAAAAGTCACAGCACAGTTCTGACAAGTATACTCTTTCATGATGCTATGTTTCTTCTTCTTATGGACTTTCATACATTTTAACACACGGAAAGGACGACTACACATGTTACACGAGAATCTCTTCACCTCTCCATTAGGGTCATTCTCATCAAGCTCATTCCTTCCTTCATAGGAACCTGCCCTCTTACAGTGGTTCTTCCTGTGGTATTTGAGGTAGCGTCTTGTGGCAAAACCTTTACCACAAGTCTCACAGACAAATGTCTTCAATGGGGGGTGGTTGTTGACATGGTCATCCAAAGCTGCCTGATCAGCAAACGCCTCACTGCACACAGGACAGCTGAACTCGGAGAACTCCACAGAATTGTCCTCCTCGTCCTGTTCATCATCCTCCTCATCGTCTTCGTCATTGTAGTCTATGGCACTTGACTGATATGAGGCTGTTAGGGCGGCAGCCTCAGTCCCAAAGCTAGTGTGATCGGAACTGTATTCCGAATGCTGAATGATCTGCTGCTGCTGACTGTCCTCGCTGCTGACAACAGTGGCAGTGCTGACTGTGTGGTATGACGTGAAGGAGGGCTGGGTCGCGTAGGCACCATTCTGGACAAACGGGAGTGTGGAAATATGCTGATAACCGCTGCCTGATAGACCAGCAGAATAAGTCTGGTCATCGCTGTTGATGTTTGCCATGTTGAGCATCGCTGGAGACAGAACTGTGAAGTTCCCCGCAGCCGCTACTTGCTGGCCATCTGAATTTATAGCGTCTATTGAAACATACACAGCATTCTCAACCTCCTCTCCATTGGCTGCTTCTTCTCCATTGACTGTTATTTGAGCAGATTGTTCGTACGAGTTAGTAACACTTTCCTCTGTGACCATTGGACTAGATGTGTCAGTAGTGATTTGATCGCTGGTGCTGTAATACACCATTTGGTCCTGGTTCGCATCCAGCATTGATGTGTAGCCTGGCTGAATGTCCCCGTTCACATTTAAAGCAGTTGCTGGCATCAGAGATGTAAATGTTTTATCCTGATTCTCCCCTCCCACAACCGCGCCACCCTCCACAAACGACCCAGCTGGGACAAGCTGGGTAAAGTCCTTCTCTTCCCCACTACTGCTGAACTCCAACCCATTCTGCTCCGCTGACCCATTCATGTAACCAGCAGCTGGGTTATGTGTCCCAGCACCAGTTCCATCATCCTCTGATAACTCTGCACTCCAAACCTGACCCTGAGCATTAACCTGTGGTTCAACATATTCCTCGTCAGCAACATCTAACCGATGTGAATCTATAGACTGATGAACGGAAGCCACAGAATAACCTTCACTGTTCTCTAGGTTATCCACCTGTACCTCATTCTCAGGCCCCACCTTATTTGGTTGTTGAGCATAGGGGCCTGAAGAATCTTCACTGTTTGCCAACCACAAATCCTCAGAGTAGTCAATATTCAGTGATTTCTCCTCTGGCAGAGCATCTCCGTTCTCTGTTGGTGAGAAACTATCCTGCCCACTGTTGCACTCCAGTGCTGCCATTTTGGGCTGGGACTTCACCCCTAGGCACAAAAACACATTACAATATCAAAATGTGGTAGCAGTGTGTCGTGTTTCTCTTCCAAATACCACTTCACAATCAGCAGCTTGAATTCACATTAAAATGTAATTCAAGCATGTATATAGAATACTTCTCTTAATTCATCATACTGTGTAAGTGTTGACAGCTTTCAAGTCAGAAGACCAACCGACATATACTGACCATATCCTCTCTTGGAGCAGCAGCCTAGCAGAGATGTATCTTCATGAGAAGATAGCCCAAAGGCTAATTTCAAGTCATCCAGTTGCACGCACAAACAAAAGTAATGTGCAAATAGATATGGACAATGCAGTCTGATTCACTCTCAGCAGACCATGTTGTTTATGTGAAGACTCTTTTTACAGCCGCAGAGATCTATCTTCATGAGAAGCTACTGCCAGTGATGCCTCCTGTTTGTCTCTTAAAGGCTAATTTTCGAGACATCCAGTTGAACCCACCAACAAAAGTAATGTGCAAACAGGTATGGACAATGCAACACTTAACTGACCATGTTGTTTATGTGAAGACTCCTTTTAGAGCAGCAGAGATATATCTTCATGAGAAGCTGCCACCAGTAAAGTCAGCAGTTACTCTCCCAAAATTTATTACAACAAGAGGCCTCAACCCACAAAGAAGTGTACAAAGATCGGCACAGCCAAGCACGAGAAGCACACCGGACGCACACAAAGTCTTGTTAACCAACATAGGACTGGCACTATTAACTGCACAACGCTGATGAATATGTTGAGAGGGGAATCTGAATGCCTATAGATGTATCCGGAGTGCTGTGATGATAATCTAACTCATAACTCAAAGAAGTATAATGTGGATATAAATATGACAGATTCACTGCCTCTTTCCACTGACTATACTGTTTAAGTGCTGAATCTTGTAGAGCCTGTGGAACTGTAGAGAGATATCTTCATGACAGGTTGTTGCTGGTGCTGTCGTAGGGTAATGTCATTGCTTGCTTTCAGTGTGACCTGGCAGCTACACTTTTAGCTTCATTATCTGTGGACATTAAACTTGCTGTTGCTTCATGATGCCGCCGGTACTTGAGAACTACATCATGTGAAAGACAAGAAACAATAAGCCGTTAGGACAAAACACAATCATAAATCTTTAACATTAAAAACAAAAATTGGAAAGATCAATTTTCACGCCTTTTAGGCGCATTGGGTATATGGGAAGAGCACCCATATTTTTACAGACCAGGTGGGTAATGTGGTCAGCATTACGCCGGCCGTCTTTACTTCCTCAGGACATACATCCTGGTACCCATTTTAGGCTGGGTCGACCTGCGATAAAAATCCATGCAGTCAGCAGTGGGTTTCGTTCAAAGGTACGTTGGAATTACGAGTGGGACTTGCAACGCCAAAGCCATGGACACCGCAAATCTTTAACATTACTACCTCCATAAAGTCTTCATTGTCTGATTTGTTTCCTTCTTCGTGTTCACCAGCTGTAAACCTCAGCACAAAAGTTCTGGTTGCTCGTCCACTTATGCACTATGGTCCTTATTCTGGACTTGAGTTTTGCATGCATATCTGTTTTACATATCTGGCTTATTTGTATACAGACAGTTCCTCACCTCCCAGGCAGATGCACTCCGACTTAAAAGGAAACATCCATAATTATTCACCTCCTATGACATACTTGATAGAGTGGCAGTGAGTCTATCCTTTTACCCCTAAAATGGGGCCCCGGAATCCACATGGTCAAAAAATTTCAGTGATTTCTCCCTTGGGAGGGAGAATATTTCAGTTCTCTGCTGGGATTAAGGAAGCTGGGATTATGAAAGCTGGGATTTTAAAAGACTGGGATTAAAGAAGTTAAGATTAAAGAAGCTAGGATTTTTAAACAGTTAGGATTAAAGAAGATTTTATTTTCAAAGCTGGGTTTACAGAAGTTGGGATTAAAAAAGAGCTAACCACATTTCCCATGTAATTTGGAACTTCTTCTTTGCGTTCGGTTTTGTATGCTCAGATCAGACCATCAGGTGGGTTGCCTCTATGAACTCGCATGTCAGCTGCAGGTCGTTCATGGTTCCGCACAGCTTGCTCTGCACACTTTGCTCTTGAGGTCACGTTTCTTTCAAAAGTTGTAGGTAGAGTGGGCAGGTCTGCAGAATGTGCTCAGGTGTTTGTGGTCCTGTTTGACAGGCACACTGTGGGGACTTACAACCTTTATTTTATGCATGTGGTAGTTGAGCCTGCAGTGTCCTGTTCTTAGATAGAAAACTGTTATACTGTTGTATGCTGCTTTCTGTTAGTTAGTTAGTTAGTTAGTTAGTTAGTTAGTTAGTTAGTTGGGTTATCCTCATTGCACTCTGGACATGTCCATAGGTGCTCAGATCCTCCCCTCAGTATGAACCCCAACGTCCGATGGCTAATAGTACCAGTTCTATGTTGATTAACAAGTCTTCTGGCGTAGCTGGTGTGCGTCTTGTTTTTTGCTGTGCCGATCTTAATTCCCAAGTCTGCCATTCTGGCGAGTGATGTGGATTCACTGCCACCAAAGTCGTCTATCCTTCCCATTTCTCTGAGGGCATTGATAATATCAGCATGATCCATAGGCTGACCGTCGGTAGTGATAGCGGATCCAGCCAACCTGTCAGCTCTTTCATTTCCATCGACGCCTGTGTGTCCCGGAACAAAAATAAAGGTGACTCCACGGACAGTGGACTTCTGTAATGATTCAAGCCATTGTCTTCGCACTGAACCTGCCTGAACCCTCCGGATCATACTCATTGAATCACTGAGTATACACACGCGGGTGTATTTTTGTGTTTTAAGCCAGGCAAGCGCTTGTGTCACTGCCATCACCTCCATCGTCATGCTGCTGGTTGTCATGGAGAAGGCGCCGTTGGCTTCTTGACTGTTCTGCCCGCTGAGCGTGCTGTAAATGCCCATGCGCTTCTTCTTTGGCGTATAACGGATCCGTCTGTATAGATTATTGCATCTGCTTCGTCTGAATTTTCACCGATGAGAGCGTTGACCTCTGCATTAACAGCAACAGGATTCTCTTCTCTACATCGCCTGTTGAGTGTGACAATACAGGAAAATGTACAAACAAACGCCTGAGGCACAGGTATCCATTCTGCACCAGGTATGATGTCGGTTAGGCTGCATATTTGCCTAAAAACATCTTCTGCCCGACCTAGCCACAATTTCCCCCTCTTCAGTCTGTCACCCTTTTCACTAAAAAGCGCTTGATGCAGTGGGTGTTTCTTATCAGCACATATTTTGAGATATGCCCGAGCCCTCCACATCCTGATCCTTTGGTTCATTGTTGGAAAGTTGCTTTCTGTTAAAGTCTGCTGATGGGGTCTTGTGGATGTTTACTGTTGGTTTGTTCTCTCCACAATTCCTTGTATTTTGTCCTTGATAACTGTTCTGAAAGTTGGTTTCTGGTAACGACAATGAGTGGAATTAAAAACAGAAATGACACCCGCCACCAAAGGTCTGGTCAAGTCTTCAGCTTTCAGCCATAGTTAGCTGCAGCCGTGATCTATTTGCATGTATTTATGCAGGCACATTTGAGTGTGTGTAAGAGTTTGTATGTCTATGAATGAGGGGTGAGTTTTTTTGTATGTATACATCTGTGATTGTTCACATCAGAAAGAGACAATCTACATTTTTTGGTCATGTCAAGAGAAAGAGAAAACTGGAGTACATTGTGACGGTATGAAAGCTGGAGGGAAGGAGAGGCAGAAGAAGTCCAAGAAAAAATAATGCTGGACAGTTTGACATCATGGCATGGAAGATCATCTGTGTCAGAGTCGACTGAAAGTACATGAGATAAAAGGCTGTGGATAGACATGACTACCAACGCCACACAGCATGGTCTTTAAGAAGAAGATGCAAGTGTGTATGAGAAGTGTTTGTGTGGTTTGTATGTGTCTGAGTGTTTTGTGTAGTATGTATGTGTCTGAGTGTTCTGTGTGGTATGTATGTGTCTGAGTGTTTTGTGTGGTATGTATGTGTCTGAGTGTTTTGTGTGGTATGTATGTGTCTGAGTGTTTTGTGTGATATGTATGTGTCTGAGTGTTTTGTGTGGTATGTATGTGTCTGATTGTTTTGTGTGGTATGTATGTGTCTGAGTGTTTTGTGTGGTATGTATGTGTCTGAGTGTTTTGTGTTGTATGTATGGGTCTGAGTGTTTTGTGTGGTATGTATGTGTCTGAGTGTTTTGTGTTGTATGTATGTGTCTGAGTGTTCTGTGTGGTATGTATGTGTCTGAGTGTTTTGTGTGGTATGTATGTGTCTGAGTGTTTTGTGTTGTATGTATGTGTCTGTTTTGTGTGATATGTATGTGTCTGAGTGTTTTGTGTGGTATGTATGTGTCTGAGTGTTTTGTGTGGTATGTATGTGTCTGAGTGTTTTGTGTGGTATGTATGTGTCTGAGTGTTTTGTGTGGTATGTATGTGTCTGAGTGTTTTGTGTGGTATGTATGTGTCTGAGTGTTTTGTGTGATATGTATGTGTCTGATTGTTTTGTGTGGTATGTATGTGTCTGAGTGTTTTGTGTGGTATGTATGTGTCTGAGTGTTTTATGTGGTATGTATGTGTCTGAGTGTTTTGTTTGGTATGTATGTGTCTGAGTGTTTTGTGTGGTATGTATGTGTCTGAGTGTTTTGTGTGGTATCTATGTGAGTGTTTTGTGTGGTATGTATGTGTCTGAGTGTTTTGTGTTGTATGTATGTGTCTAAGTGTTTTGTGTTGTATGTTTGTGTCTGTTTTGTGTTGTATGTATGTGTCTTGAGTGTTTTGTGTGGTATGTATGTGTCTGAGTGTTTTATGTGGTATGTATGTGTCTGAGTGTTTTGTGTGGTATGTATGTGTCTGAGTGTTTTGTGTTGAATGTATGTGTCTGAGTGTTTTGTGTTGTATGTATGTGTCTGAGTGTTTTGTGTTGTATGTATGTGTCTGAGTGTTTTGTGTTGTATGTATGTGTCTGAGTGT